CATCATCATCATCATCATCATCATCTCATCATCATCATCATCATCATCATCATCATCATCATCCATCATCATCATAATCATCATCATCATCATCATCATCATCATCATCATCATCATCCTGCCTCCTCTTCTGCTCGTCTGACTCCCTTTTTCCACGTGCGGCGAGCCTCGATCCTCCTCAACCTCATCCTGCTCCTTCTGCTCCTTCTGCTCCTTCTCTTGCTCCTCCTGCTCCCCCTCCTGCTCCTCCTCCTCCTCCTCCTCCTCCTCCTCCTCCGCCTCCTCCTCCTCGTTTTCCTCGTCTTTTTCTTTTCGACGTTCGGCAAACTTCGATCCTCCTGCAACTGCAGTTTTGCTCCTCCTCCTCCTCCTCCTCCTCCTCCTCCTCCTCCGCCTCCTCCTCCTCCTCCTCCTCCGCCTCCTCCTCCTCCGCCTCCTCGTCCGCGGCGCGCGGGGCCGAGCTGTCGCTCGGCCCAGCGAACCCACAGGCCGAGCGGCGGCAGGGCCGGGGGCGGGCAATACTGCGTGCGCGGTGTTCCCCCCTTCGGGGTCGGAGATCGGATCGACCACAGCCAACCAGTACGATACGGTGAAGGCACCGGGTAAGCAGCCAGTGGATGAAAAATCCTGGGTCTCTTTCTTTCTTTCTCTCTCTCTCCCTCTCTCTCTCCTCTACTCTCCTCCTCCTCCTCATGTTTCTCTGCACCTCCTCCTCGTCTTCATCCATTCCCTCCTCCCGTCTCCTCCTCCTCCTCCTCCTCCTCCTCCTCCTCCTCCTCCTCCTCCTCGTCATCCTTCTCGTCCTCCTCCTACTAGTAGCATTATCCTCTCCTCTTCCTCTTCCTCCTCCTCCTCCTCCTCCTCCTCCTCCTCTTTCTCTTCCTCCTCCTCCTCCTTCTCGTCCTCGTCCTCGTCCTCGTCCTCCTCCTCTGCGAGCTGGTGGGACTCCAATCATGGAGCAGCCCTGGACATCACCACCGCCCTCATAAGAGAAGGGATCCTCCAGGGTCTGAAGCCTCCTGAGCACATTCCTTCACCGACGCGCCCGCCGTAGGGATGTGCAGTAAGGCTGCGAGGACCTTTGGGGGGCCATGTTAACTTTTCTCGCGCGAGGCTGGCCAGCGAAAGTTCTAGAGGATAAGCCGCAAGGGGGAGGACGCAAGGGCATAATCTTGGAAGGTTGCCCGTCCTTACCATGCGGGCTGCCTGTACAAAATTGATCCGTCCCGTAAATAGAACGTTCGTCGGTCCTACGAAAAATACGGTGAGGGCATTTGCGGTTGCTCTTTAAGGGCCAGAAGGCCCGTGAGTGAATTCATGCATTTCTGCGGGTCCCGCACCAGCCACTCTCGTAGGCCGTCGCGGCCGCCGCCGCCGTCGTCGCCTCGCGCCCCGCCCGGCCCCTGGCCCGCGCCTGCTCGGCAAAGCCGCGCCCTTGGCCCAGCCCGACCGCGGCGACGGGCGGCTGGATGAGGGCCCCCTGCAGGCCCGCTGGCGCCCTCGCCCACGACCGAGGTGGCAGTCCTCTTTCACTTGGCGGGCTGCGCGGCCTCCACTTGGCTGGCTGGCGCTGCAGGGGCCGCCGCGCTCGCCCCACCTCAAGCCTCCGCCGCGGCGCCGAGCTTATCACTCCAGCGCGCCCTCACCGCGGGCGCGGGCGCCGACAGCGCGCCGCAAGCCTGCGCGGCGCCGGTGCCCGGCAGCTGGCTGCGCTCGAAGTCGCCGCGAGCCTGCGCCCTGGAGCCCGTCCGAACTCTCGCCGTGGCCCCCGCGCGCTCGTCGCGGAGCCCCCATCCGGACCGCCCTTGGGATGCGCGCGTTTATGTAGCAGGGCGCGCACGCCAGGAGCTCCACTGAGTCGCCGCGCAGCGCCCGCCCGTGAATCAGGCGGCGCCCGCGCGCCTGCCAGGGGTCTCCTTTCGCGCTCGCGGGCGGGGGTGGCCGTCTAATAGCGGCGCTGTCTTCTCCGGCGGGGGCCGTCTGCATCCTGCGCGCCGCTCGTCTCGAGCCCCCAGCCGCCTCGCCCGACGCTCCCGAGCCGCCCGCCGCGGCCCCCCCGCCCTGCGCCGTCGGCGCAGGGGCCGCGGGGCGCTCGCGCAGGCGGGCCGCCCGGGCCGCGGGGAGGCCCGCCAGGGCAGGGAGCTGCCGCAGCTCACATAGCCGCCAGCTCAACGGCCGCCGCCGCGCCTGGGGAGCCCCCTGCCGCGGTGCTGGCCTCGATGGGGCCCCGCTCTTGGGGCCCGAGGTCGAGGTCCTCCAGCGCCGCCGTCGGCCGGCAGCCCTGGGCACCGAGCTCAAAGATGTGGGCCTCGATCTTCGCGGCGCGCATCGCCGCCGCTCGGGTTCGGGCCGCCCGACCCCCCAGCCTAAGAACTTCTTCATCACCTGCCGCATGCTGGCTGGCCCCCAGCTTGGCGCTCTAGTCGGCAACGCGGTTGCCGTCCTTCGCCGGCTCGCTGATCACCCCGCGCCTGACCGCCTCCTCGGACGCGCGGGCAGGGATGCGCTTGACAGCCACGCCTTCCGCGCCGTCGCCTGCCCAGGCCCGCGCGCGCGGCGAGGTCGGCCTTGGCGCCCCCTTCACGTCGTGGATGTAATCGACCGTCCCCACGCAGACGCCGAGGATCACATGCAATCCCGCACACTCACTGATGGCGACTCCCGCCGCAACGCCCCCACCTGCGCACGCCGCCCGCGATGGCAGCGCACGCGGCGGCATCCGGCCCCGGGCCTGCGCCAGCACCCTGCCGCCCAGAGACATCGCCGCGACGGCCCGGCCAGCGCTGCGCAGGGAATCGGAGCGCCCATTGACGCACATAGCGTCCGTGGAGACCGTGGTCCCAGCGGTTCCAGCAAGGACCACCATGGGGCTCATCCGTTCTACGCGCTGCCCCACCCAGCGCGGACGCCCGCGCGGGCGCTCCAGGACGGGCGCGGCGTCCACGAACAGTACCTGGCAGAAGAGGCACGTCGGGCAGATGTCCTCCCTGCGTCTGGCGAGCCTGGCCCGGACAGGGCCTGCAGGCAGGCGGCGAGCAGGCGGCGAGCGCCAGGGCCAGACCGCCTTCCTGGTCATGCGTCGAGCGCGCGCCGTCAGGAAGGACGGCGACCTGCACCCGACGTTAAACTCAATGCCCTGCTCGTCCTTCAGAAGGAGGCCGCCCCCCGCGATCTGCCAGCTGATGCGCTTCAACGTGAGAGCCAGTGCCGAGGCGGGAACGCCCACCGCCGCCCAGGGTCGCCGGCTGCGCTCGCGTCGAGCACGGTCCTCGCGGCAGGCCTTGACAGCGGCTGGCCAGTCCTGTCGCCGGCCGCGAGATGAGCACCGCAGCGCGAAGCTCAGCGCTGCGCCTGGGGCCAGGTCGCGGTGGCCCGAGGCGAAGGCCCCCGCGGGGGCCGGCCATCACGCCTGCAACTGCAGCTCTCTCCGCTGGTCCATCTTCGCGGCGAGCGCCTTTGTCTTGGCCCCGACGGGCAGGCGCTTGTCCCTCAGCATGGACACGATCGCTGAGATGACCGAACCAGCAGCGCTGACCTCCTCGCTGACGGCGCCGCCCAACGTCGCCCGCCCGGGGTCCTCGTAGGCAACGCGGAGGGCCTTCACCAAGCCAGGCCTACAGTTGTGCTCCTGCGCCGCCTTCGGGAGCTGCTGGAAGGCGATCCACTCGTAGAGCCTGCTGATGTCGAAAGGGTCCAGCTCTCTCGGGATCACAGCTGCCCGCTCCAGCGGGCGCGCGCCCGCGGCGGGGGCTGCCCTGCCGGGGCCATGGCGGCTGCTGCGCGCCGCCAGCCGCCGCCGCGCCCCGTGCAAACAGCGCCGCCAAAGGGCCCACATCGGATGCCTCAGCCGCCAACTCTCGCACTGCACTCTGCGGCACCCGCGGCCACGGGCCCGTCGCTGGGCCGCGCCTCTCTGCCTGCCCACGCTCGGCGGCTGACTGAACATCGACCCCCGGCTCGGCGTCGGAGTCGGAGCCGATCGCCCCGCCATCGATTGGGCTGCAGTCTCCCCAGCGATCACGCGGCTTCCTCCACCGCGGGCTCCTGGAGGGCGAACATTCCTTCCACCGCCTGCAGCCGTTGCATGGTGAGCTCCCAGGCCCTGGCGAAGTTGCCTGCCAGGTGTGCCAACGGGAGCGTTCGCAGTTGGAGGAAGAGCCCGCGCATGGCCTCCAGGTCACCAGCCGGGACCTGCAGGCGTTCGTGGGTAGCCTTGGCAGCAGCGGCCTTCTCCTCCAAGGCGACCAGCCGCTCGCGCGCCTCGGCTCTGCGGTCCTCGGTATCCTCCAGCTGGTCTGCAGCCGCCTGCACTGCCGCCTCCTCCTCGGCCACAGCTGCGTCTGCAGCCTCCATGGTCCTGCGAGTTCCTGCGGCCTTGCGCTCCACTTTGCTGGCCGTGTTGGCCGCTCGTCGCAGCCGCGTTGCTGGCGACATCGCTGCCTCCTTGTCCGCGGCCTGGGCTGCTGCGGCCTCCTGCTTCTTGGCTCGAAGGGCGGCCAGCCGCTCAGCCACGCACTCGTCTCCATGGCCACCCAGGCTGGGGAACGCCCCCAGGTGCTCGATGGCGCGCTGCAGCTCTACAAGACGAGATGCCTGCTGTGAGCCGCCGCCTGCTTTGCCCTTGCCGCCGTGGCTGCTGCTTCCTTCTCCTGAGTCCGAGGCGCACGCCGCCAGGGGCCCTGCCACGGCGCGTGCCTTGCGTCGGCCCCTCTTGCCCTTGCCCGCCAGGACGCAGCCCTCGGCGCGTCGGGCTCAGGCTGGAAAGGGGCTCCCGCCTGGTCGCCCAAGGTTGGGCCTTGGCTTGGCAGCCGAAGCACCGAGCCCTCGTGCAGTAGGTCCACTGGCCGCAGGGGCGCACCCAGTAGGCACCGCCCCCCCGAGCCGCCGCGATCGCCGGGAGCCGCAGCGCCCCGCGCGGGAGGCGCCCTCCCGCCACGCCCGCGCGCCGCTCCCCCAGCTCGGAGGTTCAAAACTGCACGCTGGCCCGAGGCGCGGGGCCCCCCGCGCTCAAGGCGCCGAGGACGACTCGCGGCCGTCGGGCGCTCCATGGCCTCGAGCCAAAATGGCGACGGACGGCGAGGGCACTGGATAGGGAAGCATTGGATGAAGCATCCAGGGCCTGCGAGCCGGTGAAGCTCCAATCATGGATTGACCACGGATCTCCCCACCGCCCTCATGACATAAGGAGTCCTCCAGGGTGTGAAGCCTCCCGGGCACGTTCCTTAACCAACGCCCCCGCCGTAAGGATGCGCGGTAAGGATGCAAGGGCCCTGGAGGGACATGTTAACATGTTTCGAGCGAGGCTGGCCAGCGAAAGTTCTGTGGATCAGCCGAAGAGGAAGGATACAAGGGCAAATTTGGAAAATTGCTCGTCCTTACTGTGTGAGTTGACTGCACAAACTGATTTACCCCCGAATTATAGTGCTCGTCGATCCTACGAAAAATACAGTGAAGGCATTGAATAAGGAGCCACTGGATGAGGAATCCAGTGTCTGGACGCTGGTGGAACTCCAATCGTAGACTTGCTATGGACATCACGGCCGCCCTGCTCAAATAAGGAGTCCTCCAGGGTCTGAAGCCTCCCCGGTACAGTCCTGAACGAAAGCACCCACAGCATGTAGACTGTTCGTCGGACTACGAGCATTCGACGCATGCTCTGTGGACTCGAAGAGGGTATGAACTCTGAGGCAAATCAATCCTGCCGCCAGCCTCCTGCTCGACCTCCGCCCACGCCGCTGCCACCTCCGCCTTGCTCCGCCTCGTCCCGATCGCATGGGCTGCAGCCGGCGTGCTACCACATCAGGAGCACCAGAGGCCACGGCCAGGGCTCGGCCACGAGCAGGTCCCACGCCACAACTCTGAGAAGCGATCCTCCTCCTCCTCCTCCTCCTCCTCCTCATCCCCTCCTCCTCCTCCTCCTCCTCCCTCGCCTCCTCCCCCCTCCCTCTCCCCCTCCCCTCTCCTCCCCCTCCCCCTCCTCCCTCCTCCTCCTCCTCCTCCTCCTCCCCCTCATCCTCCTCCTCCTCCTCCTCCTCCTCCTCCTCCTCCTCCTCCTCCTCCGACATAGCTCCCGCGGCAGCCCCTCCTGGGCCCAAAAAGCGGTCTTCCTGTCGGCGTCTGGCCGGCGTCGCGCACAGAGGGGGCAGGGGAAGGGGGGGAGGCTTCTTAGAAGTAAGTCGGGCGTGTCCCTCTATAGGAGGAATATGCAACAATAGTCAAACAAAAATACTCTGGGAGGAATTTCTGACTATTATTGATATTCGTTTTGAATGTTGAGGGTATTTTCTAGTTTTCGTCCAAAATCCACCTGTGAGGGGACATGCCCGACCTAACCTTCGAATGAGGCCGCTTCTTAGAAGGCGCGGGCCTGACATCCACAGACAAGGCCCTGGCCTGCTAAGAAGCAGGGGGAGCCTCCACGACGCCTCCCCCCCTCCCCCTAATTATCCCCCTCTGAGCGTGGCCGATCTTGAGCGTAGGCAAGGGCCCGTGGTGCGCGGCTTGCGCGGGGCGCGGGGGGGGCGGGGCGGGCGGCCGGTCCCGAGCGCGCACTCCGCCGCTCTCGGCTCGCATTCCGGCCGTCCGGGGGCCCAGGGGGCCGACACCAGAGGTCGCCCCGGCGGAAGGTGACTCGTTGCGTGCACTCAAGATTTCGTTATAAAAGGGAGGGGGTCTGGACCCTCCAAGACAAGCCATTTCAGACCCCCCCCCGTGGGAGAACCCTCCAAAACATCGTCCCCAGACCCCCCCAGGCCCTCCAAGATAGTTTGGAAAAGACCCCCCCCCGAAATGAGACCCCCCTCCCTTTATTACGAAATCTGGAGTAGCCGATCGCAGCCAAGGGCGGGGCGGAGTTGTGGGTGCCCGGGATGCCCCACAGCTGGTTCAGCGTCAGATGCCCCAGGCCGCGGCACCAGTCGGAGAGGTCCGGGCCGTCCCCTGGAGCGCAGGCGGGGCAGCGACGACGAGCAACGAAGACGACGACGAACGACGAACGACAAACGCCGACGACGACGATCGCCGACGAGGCCGACAACGGACGGCGACGACGACGACGACGACGACGACGACGACGACGACGACGACGACGACGACGAACAACAACAACAACAACAACAACAACAACAACAACAACAACAACAACAGCTACAACAACAACATCAACATCAACATCAACATCAACATCAACAACAACAACAACAGCAACAACAACAACAACAACCACAACAACAACAGCAACAATCATCTTAAGACTGTTCGCCCGTATCTGCTAGAGTGTCCAATGACGCCCATTTCCCAAACCCTCGATACCCGCCCTCTTCGTTTTCGATCGAACCCCTTTGGGGGGGTATACCTTTCTTCCCTGCAGGCCGGGCCCCAGCAAGCGGCGGGGCGGCCACGGACCGTCGGCCTGGCCAGCGGCAGCGCTGATCGGCGAGGCGGCCGCGGACCGTCAACCCGACCCCAAGAGGGACGGACAGGGGACCGACCACGACGACGACGACGACGACGACGTCGAGGACGACGGCGACGACGACGACGACGGCGACAACGACGACGACGAGCGAAAGCGAGAGCGAAAGAGAACGACATCAGGGCCACAAGGGCACGAAGTAGGCCACGATGGGCAACAGCGGGGACACGAAGGGAATGAGTATGGGGCCACGAAGAGCGCGAAGGAGCGGGGACCACGAAGGGCAGATAATGCGGGGGGGGGGCACAGAAGGCAACGATGGGGCCACTGAGGGTAGCAACTGGGCCACGTAGGACAGATGCATATGGGGCCACCACGGGCGCGAACGAGCGGGGGCCACGAAGGGCATACATATATGGGGCCACGTAGGGCAGCGAGGGGTCCACGAAGGGATGCAACGGGGCCACGAAACAAAGCGAGGGGGCCACGAAGGGCTGCAACGGGGCCACGACGGGCTGCGACGGGGCCACGAAACAAAGCGAAAGGGCCACGAAGGGCTGCAACGGGGCCACGAAACAAAGCGAGGGGGCCGCGAATGACTGCAACGGGGCCACGAAGGGCAGCGAGGAGGCCACGAGGGGCTGCAACGGGGCCACGAAGGGCAGCGAGGGGGCCACGGGGCCACGAAACAAAGCGAAGGGGCCACGAAGGGCTGCAACGGGGCCACGAAGGGCAGCGAGATCCTGATTCCTAGGTAATCTGTGAGGGGGTCCTAAGCGTGAGCGCGACTCCTGGGTGCCTGGGTGTCGGAAGCGCGGCGCTTGAGTAAATCATAGAAAAATCCAACGCAAGGGCGCTATTCTTCAGTGAATTGCAAGCAAGTCTCCAGCGAGAGCGCGACTCCAGAGCGCCGGGAGAATAAATTTTAAGGAAGTCCCAAGCGAGAGCGCGACTCCTGAATAAAACGCGAGGAAGTCTCGGGCGGGAGCAGGAACCTGGCTAAATTGTAAGGAAGTCTCAAGTGGGAGCCGTTGTTGTTGTAAACCGGGGGCCAACGACACAGCTTGACCCTCAAGACTTTCCCTGATAAAGAAACAGGGTGCGCGCCCGGGGAAGGGCACTTCAATCAAACAACAATGTGCACCTCACGGGGGGGATCAACAAGAATCATTCTTCAGAAATGAGAGTTGAACAAGAACAACAACAACAACAACGACAACAACAACTACAACTACAACTACAACAACAACAACAACAACAACAACAACAACAGCAACAACAAACGAAGACCGACGACCGACGACCGACGAACGACGAACGACGAACGACGACGCCCGACGACGACAGCGAGCCCCCTTCGAACCCAAAGTGTTCCTTACGTCAGCGGCTTCCTCCCCACCTTCAAACTTTCAAACCCGAAGTGTTCACTAGCTCAGCGTATTGGCTGGAGGGGGGGCTCCATACACTCCTGGGGCACGTGCAATGGATCCGCCCTCCAATGGTTTCATGGACCTATCTATCTCGGAGTTCTTTCGGAGTCCTGGGGCGCCCTGGGGATCCTGCAGGGCCCTCTCGAGGCCCTTCTGGGCACAACGTGGTCCTGCACTGGGTGACATGATGGCCTTGGACCATCTGTGGCCACACTGGGGCTACGTCAGGAACTCTTTGCCGTCCACGTATCCCCGCTCCAGTGCCAGTCTTCGGAGTCCTCTGGAAGCCCTTCTGGGCTCTACGTGGCTGTGCACTGGGCGACCTGATGGCCTCGTCAGGCCTCGGAAATCCTTCGGAAGCGGAATTGCAAGAACGCCGAAAGCACGCGAAGATAACAGAGTTCGGAGGGATTCGGGGCTCTGGCCTTCCCCGCGGAGCTCGGCGCGTGGCACGACGCGGGCGGCCCTCTCCTCGAGCTCGGCCTCCTCGGGGGGGGGCCGTCTGTGGCCCCTCTGCAGGGGGCCCTCGCGCCGCCTCCTCCCCCCCAAAAAAAAAAAACACGCGCGCCCAGGGTTTGGGCCCCCTGCTTCTCCGCCGCCGGCGCCGCCGCCTCCGCCCGCGTGGCCCGCCCGCGCTCGCGACGTGGATGGCCCCATGGCCGCACGCGGGGACCGAGTGCTCGGCGCCAGGCTCGCTTGCGCGCGCCGGCCGGGGCGGCGGCGGCCGCGCGGCGGTCGGGCGGCAGCGGGCGCGAGCGCCGCAGGGCGGCGGCCAGGGGGGCGGCCTCGCTTCGGCGGCGCCCCTGGTCTGGCGGGGGCCTCCTAAGGTAGACGAGCGCCTTCCGCTACTCGCAAAGGTGACTGCTCGCAAATGACCTGGATCCGCCGCGGGGGATCTACCATACATGACATCGAAGCAGACATGTTTTTTTTGGTTCCGGACGCTCGCGAGCAGGCACTCTGCGAGCAGTGGAACGCGCTCGGTGACAAAGGGGCCTGCCTGGAACCATCCGTGGCCACCCGGAGGCTGCGGGGGGGGGGGGGGGGGGGCAGCCCTCCTCCTCCTCCTCCCCCTCCTCCTCCTCCTCTTCCTCCTCCTCTTCCTCCCCCTCCTCCCTCCTTCCTCCTCCCTCCCTCCCTCCTCCCTCCTCCTCTCCTCCTCCTCTCCTCGTCCTCGTCCGGCGGCGCAGCGCGGCGGGGCGAGGCGGCGGCGGCGGCGGCGCGGCGGCGGCGGCAGCCGCCGCGCGCGGGGGATGCCGGGCGGCGGCCTGGCTCCGCCGGCGACCCGCCGCCGCGCCCGCCTTCCGCCGCCGCCCCGCCGGGCACCGCCCGCGGCGCGGCGGCGGCCCCCATCGCACGGCGGCGGCGGGCGCGGCCCGCAGCGGCCGACGCGGCGCGCGGCCACGGGCAGGCCTCGAGGGAAGCGATCGTGCGGGCGCGCCCCGATCTCCGTCGTCGCCGCCTTTGCAGGTTCTCCGAGCCGCGCCCGGCGTGGCGAAGGGCGGCGAGGAGGGGAGGGGAGAGAGGAGGAGTGTGGGGACCAGTGGAGGGGAGGGAGACGAAGATAACAATAACGGAGAAGGAGGAGGCGAGGAGGACAAGGATTGTCTCCGCTCTCCTCATTCACCTCGTCATTGTCCTCGTCCTTCTCCTCCCTCCGTATACATTATCATTATTCTCGTTTCCGACCGCATGTGGAATGAGGAGCACGGGCGCGAACTTAAGACGAATGACCAGGAGCTGGACTACGAGAAAGGGGGAGGCAGGCGACAGGAGGGCGAAGACGACGACGACGACAAAACAGGAGCACGACGCGACGGCGACCAACGACAGACATTGGACGACACGCACAACGGAGGACAAACGACGAAAGACGAATGACGAATGACAACGATGACGACGATGACGACGACGACGACAACGACGACAACGACGACGACGACCACGCCGACAACCACGACGGCGGACGACGGCGACGGACGACGGCGGACGGCGGACGACGGACGACGGACGACAGACGGCGTCGACGGCGGCAACGGCGGCGGCGACGACAATGACGACGACGCAACTGCCTGCCATGGCCGACGCGGCGCGCACATCCCCCCCCTCTCCCGCGCTGACTTGCCCGACTTCGCACTGGTAGTCAAACGCTGGCACGGGAGGGGGCGCAAGGGGAGGACGCAAAGTTAGGGCACCTGAGTGGAATAACGCAGGACACAGGAAGGAAATGCGGAGTTCATGGAGAGAGGTGAAAGAGAGCTCGAAGTGTTCGATGAGTTGTGGCGTGAAGGAGATAGGCCAAGGAGAGCTGCAGGAGGTGGAGGAGGGAGCCGAAAGGTTCGAAGGTAGAGGCGAAAGAGAGCGAACGCGAAGAGAATCGGAAGCGTCCAGCGACACGAGCCCATGAGCCAGAGAGCCTCCATGCCAATCAAACACGCTCGGGTGCATCCCATTAGTTTTGAATGACGTTGCCGTCATAGTGGGCCATCACGAGAACGAGATGCAGCCAATGCAGATCCTGGGCTGCGTACCCTGGCTGCCGCAGCGTGAAGCGTACCCGAGGCGCGCGAGCCGAAGAAGCTCAAGCTACCCTGACGAAGGACGACTGCGTTGCTGATGCGCGGCCCCGCCATAAACCTAGTGAAACAGGAGAGGGGGGAAGAGAGAGAGAGAGAGAGAGAGAGAGAGAGAGAGAGAGAGAGAGACGCATGGGAAGAGCAAGAAAGCTGCGAACTCAAGCAGTGGGGAACACAGAGACGCGGACTGAACTGCCACAGGAGGGGAGCTGGACTACCAGACGCTTAGGTGCATCAGCCAGTCTAAAGCTAGCCGCCTGCCCCAGTCGACCCAGCTACGGTCAGCAAGGTTCCCTGATCCCTAGGGGCTCGGGCCACGTGGTGCAATCGCCGCGAGCCGATGGCTCACATGAATGTCCCAGGCAGCCGCCCAGGCGCACTGCACTCACCCGCGCTGGAACCAGTCAGCATGCGCAGCGCGCAGTTGGGGGCCATGGACAGCTATGGGTCGCACCAGAAACCCCGAATCAAAAAGCGCCGTCTCTTGGAGGGGCGACGGTTGCTTCCACTGGCGCCCGCCAGCCTCCCCTTCGTCTCTGAACGCAACCACGGCCGCCCAGGAAGCTTCGCGGGGGCGACGCCGACTGCCGAGCAAGCAGCGCGGCGCGGTCGAAGGCCGACCGCAGCCCGTAGCGAGACGAGGGCGGGCGCGAGTCGGCGAGGCAGCGCGCCTCAGCCCCGCCCCCGCGCGATCCCACCTCTGCAGGGGCGGCGCGCGCGAGGGCGGCTCTCCCCCCCCCCCTGGCGGAGAGAGGCGCGAATGCCCCGCGCCCCAGCGCGGCCCGAGCCTAACATACTTCTCGAGCCGAGCTCGTCGCGAAGGAAGCGGGGCGGGGGGCGGGCGGGCGGCGGAGGTGAGCTCGGCACCGGCAGAGAGGAAGACGCACCAGGCACTTCGCTCACGCACCCCCCTCCCGCTTCGACTTCCCCCCCCCTTGCCCCGCCTGACCGCCGAGCCCTTTTCTTTCAAACCTATGTCGGGCAATGCCTCTGCCGTCGGGTTCGCGCGCACCTGGCGCGCCGCGCGCGTGCGATTTGCCGGGCCCGTATTCCCCATTGCACTTCTGACCGCGCACACGCGCCTCGCGCTCCCACCAGGTAGCCGCGGAAGCATCAGCCGCTGAACCCGCGACAACACCGCGCGCAAGTGCACGTCGGAAGCATCGCGGCCCCGAGGAGGCAAGCCACCCCAGCCACGGCTCAGTCAGTTCAGGCAAGTCGCCATGGAGGAGAAACTGGCGGCGCGCTTCACCCTGCCCCTGCAAGTCCCCCGTCGGCCAGAATTGGCGCAGGTCATCCTTCAGCAGCGCCAACGTGCCCGACTGTTCCTTGCGCCTCATCGCCCCGAACAAAAACCGCGCGAAGACGACCGCCCTGACCGCCGGCGTCGGGTCGCAAATATCCTTGCTGGGCACGCGAAAAGCAGGGCGCAGCACCTGCCTGGCCCGCCGTAGTCGTCACAGTCAACAGCAGCGTGCTCATGGCCGTAGGCGCCCTGGCTGCCCCCCTGATCTCCCGATGGGCATGTCTTGGATTGCCCATGTCCTGTCAGTCGGCTCGCGCGTATTCACATCTCTGCATTGGCAACGCATGCCATCATGCAGCTCCTCCACCGCTACTCTGGCGCCCCACCGCACCTGCAAGTCCGTCAAGCACTGCCGGATGTCCCGGCGATTCACCATGTCGAACGGCATCCCGATGCCCGTCAGCACCGCGGGCAGCATCGGCGGAAGGGGCCGAAGAGGCCCCCCCGCCGCCTTGCACGATGGGCCCGCCGATGCCGCACAAAAGCTCCACCTGCCACCGCCGCGGCACCACGCGCGCCACGCCCCTGGCATCGCCTCAAACTGCGTCGGCGAGATCCCGCGGGCCACCGCGCGCATCGCGCCCAGCGTCGTCACCCTGGCAAATGCCATTTTCCGACGTGGCGTATCAAACTGATGGCGCTGTGGCCCTTCACTACCGAGCTGCCGCCCCCCTTCGGCTTCCTCAACTGCATCGTCTGCCCGTCCTTGGACCTCTGCGGGGCCTCGCCCAACGCCTGCGCCGCGTTGAAGATCTGCCGCGGGGGGGGGGGGAGGGGCTTCCATGCTTCGGCCGCTGCGCCCACTGGTGGCCCACCCTGCGGCCACTGCAGCGTCGGCCCTTCCTTCGTACTTGGCAGCTCCACGACGCCCCCCCCCCCCCCCCCCCCCCTCACTTCGTCGATGCCGCATGGGTCAATCCAGCCATCGTCTCTGCCCGCGCATCCAGCGCGTGGAGGGCCGTCGTCTAGCCCCGCCGCCTGTCCGTCGCACGCATCGCATACGCCCTGAACCCGCGCCCGTCGATCATCCTCTGAATCGAAGCATGGCAGCCGCATGCTCGGGTCATTCACCGCCATGATGGGGGCGGCGGGATCCTGGGCCAACGCATTGATAATCGCGCGGGGCCCCCTTAGGTTCCGCAGTCCAGCTGCTTGCTCGGCCACATCTGCCAGCGCCGCCGCCATCTGCCCTCTCTCGCCCCTGATCGAAGCCGTCGCCGCCTACGTCGTACCGCTGCTGGACCTGACGCCTCAGCCACCTCGAGCTATCGGGGACGGTTGCCACCTGTCTCTGCTAGTACTGCTTAGTCTGGATCAGCTTCGCCGTGGGCTCGCTGAACACTGCCCCCATGCCTGTCCCCTTCGCAGGAGGAGATGTGTAGTCCTGTAGCGCCGCGTCTATGACAACCCCCTCCATCGCATCGAAGTATGCCGACGGAGATTCGCACCTCCCCCCCGCCACAGATTTCCGACCAGTCCCCACGCAGCCCCTTTGCCTCGATACCCTCCCACATCTTGGCACGAAAGTCGAGCAGGCGACAAAGAAGTGGCACACTATTGTCGTCGTCGTCCCCCGCCTGCTGCAATTTCACAAGATCTGCCAGCAAGACCCCACGATGCCGCCTGAGGCGGCCCGCAGGCCGCGCGGGGGGAACCCTGGCACCCGCGAAAAAGGATGTTCCCAGCGGCCTGTGATCCCTGTAGCCGCCGAGGTTGGCATGGAGGTCTGCCGGCGGCAGCGAAGAATGACCATGCCCTCCCCGCCTGCGGGCCAGCACGTAGTCAATCGTGGTGCATGTCCCGTGCGGGCTTCGCCATGTGCAATAAAAACGGCCAGTCCTCCCACATGTATTCAGAGCCATCATCACGAAACCCTACAACAACAACTCCATCAACGCGTGGCCATTGCCGTTGATGTGCCGTCCGGCTCGTCGCACTCCAGCACGACCTACCAGCGGCAAATGGGGTGGCACATGGGCATTGGCGTCCAATGTGGCGACAAGGGCAGCACGACCAGGGACCTGGCTGACCGTACTGCGGCAGGTCTGTCAGAAGCGGTCGCGGGACTCTAAATGCTTCTCGCGGTGCTCAAAGGCGCCGGTAGCTTTTGGCAGACTGCCCGCCTCGTTGGTGGGAGCGTAGCCGTTCAATATATAGAAGTCACGTTCGACACTCCTGCTGCTCGCACTCCTGGTCGTGATGCCCTGCAACTTCCCGTCCAGCCATGCATGCTCACACCGAACTTCGCTCGACCTCAGGAACTTCAATCTGATCGCAGTCAGGCAACCGTCGCGCTGGCCCTTACCCAGCCTTGCCAGGGAATGCACCTCGTGGATGCCCGTTGCCATGACTTCCCCAAGTCCATCTGCGCGTCCTGCATGCTGAAGATCGCTACGCCCTCCACCTTGGCCAGCCCCAGCAACTCGTCCAGCGTGCCCACCCTGCGCAGCGACTCCACGTTGAAGCTCCGCACCTTCAGCGTCCTCGCCTTCAGCAGAGACTTCACAACCTATGGGGCCTTTTCCTCCTTCGCTTCTCCTCGAATTTCAACAAGTATTGAAAGCAGCTGGGGCACCGAGTTCTGCACCTCGGCGAAAGCCAGCTGCGCGGCTGCCACACGTGTAATCCTCCTTCCATGGTGCCACGCTGCACCCACCACCAATGCGAGCCTCACCGCTCGCCTCAGGGCACGCCTACCACGCATGACCCCTACGCCCTATTTTCAGCAACGCAACCGCCACAACACAGTGCCGCCGCCCTCGCGGGTCGGGCTCCCCGCGAACGCTCACCTCGCAGTGGTCAAGGAAGCCGTTCGCCTCAGCGCCCAGCGCTCGCCATGGCGCGGCCGAGGGGGAAATGCACCCGCCAGGACTTGCGACCTGGCACGTCCGTCCTCTGCGACGCAGGCGCCTCGAGCCGGCGAAGCTCCCGCCAGCCTTCCGCCGGCGGAGCCGCCCCCGCTTTACTTCCGCCGCCTTCTGTCTGCCCTCCGCCGCCTCCTGCCGGGGAAGATGAAAGGGGCCCTGGGACACACAAGTAAATACACACAAATGAAAGGATTCCCGATCTTTCCTCATATTTGCTGGGTTTTGTCTCCCCCCCATTTCCCGTAGTTTCCCGCATTCTCCTGGGAATCGACGATGCATTGTGTCTGTGTGCTTTTTCCCCTCCTGAGGAGAGATGGCAGCAGCTCCCTCGATGTCCTCGGAGGCGCGGCCCCTCCTGGAGCGCGCCACCTGGCCATGACGCGCTGCTCCTCCCTGGCCCTCCTCCGTCTCCGAACATCGCTCCACCCGCCGACTCTGCGCCCCCCCGGGGCCCCGCAGGGGGCTCCGCAGCGGGGGCCGGTGGCCGTGCACAGGGCCGCACAGAGACGCGCACGCGCCGCCGGCCCTAGGGGGGAAGCCTCCACTCCCCTGCCCGCGTGCTGCCCCCGCCGGGCCCCCCCCCCCGGACCCCCGCCGGCGGCGCCCTCGAGTCGGGCACGCGCCAACTGGCCATCGCTCGGACGTCCACTCCCTGTGTTTTTTGTCTGGTTTCGTGCGTGGCCTTCTCGCCAAATGATCAGGGATGCTCCTCGAGGGCCCTCGCCGGAGGACAAAATGCACACGTCCGAGCGATGCCGAGCCAGAGCATGGATCGGGGAAGGCGCCCCCGAGGAAGAAGGGCGCCCCAGTGCCGCCCGGCGCGGCGGCGGAGCGCGCCGCTGCCGCACGACGACGGCACCACGCCGCGAATCCGCGCGCCCGGATCCATGCCCGCGCTGCCTCGAGGCATGCCCTGCCTCTCTCCGCCCGCGGCGCTGCCCCGCCCCCCTCGCGGCGCCCTCGCGCTCCCGGGGGCCGTGGCCCGTGCCGAGGTGCCGCAGGGCGCCCCGGTGAGGAGCGCCTCCCCGCTTTCCCCGCCTGTAAAGGGGCCCCAGGACACACAAATAAATACACACAAATAAAAAGATCCCCCATATTTTCCCATATTTTCTGATTTCTGTCTTCCCCCCCACTTCCCATATTTTCCCATATTGTCCTGGGAGTCGACGATTAATTGTGTCTGTGTGTTTCTTTCCCTCCTGAGCCTGGCCTGCCCTCTGGAGGTGAGGCCTCCTCCCTCGCGCCGCCCTGCCTGGGAGGGCGGGAGCGCCACCCGAACCATGAGCACACCGCACCGTGGGAGGCATGTTCAGTACACGCGCCTGGGGAGGGAACCCCGAGCGTGGCAGGACAGTTCAGGGACCGCCCAAGACTGCTCAGCAAACGCCAGGCACGGTCAAATCTGATAGTGAGGATGCGCGGCAAGGGTGCAAGCCCCTTGGACGCCCATGTCGAGGCTGTTCGAGCGGGGCTGGCCATGGAAGGGTTGAGGATGGACCGAGGAGGCAAGCATGCAAGGATACCCTTGGGAAGGTAGCCCATCCCGATTTCGACTGTATGGAGGTCGGGGTGGTCTTTTCTCCCTCTGCTACGCGACGGTGGAACTGCTCAGTGTTGTACGCCTGTGCAGCTGCCCAAGAAGTGTCGACCTCGGCGAGACTCCAGATTCCCCTGTCAGCGGTTGCAGTCGACACACTACGCAGTCGAAACATGGCCACGGGAGCGTGCATCAAAAGCATGAGCCCCTTCGCTGGTGGAGCCCAGCCCCGTGGATATACCATCAACGAGAAACAATGCAGGGGGGGGGGGGGGGGAAATTACGGGAAATTACCAGCCTCGAACGTATCCCTATCCCTAAGATTGACACGCCAAAAGGCGATGACCCTCTTAGGGATTCACCCTCAAAAAAATAGGGGAATCCCTAAGATTGGCATCGTGATGAGGAGCTGCCCAGCATAGGGATAGGGATATGTTCCAGGCTGGTAAGGAAATCCCAAGCACGAAGAACAGAAGGGACCCTTCCAAAAGAGGGCCGTTCTTCTGAAGGTGCCCTGGGACACACAAATAAATACACACAAATAAAAAGATTCTCCATATTTTCCTATATTTTTCTGGGTTTTTGTCTTCCCCTCCACTTCTCATATTTTCCCATATTTTCTGGGGAATCGCCGATTAATTGTGTCTGTGTGTTTCTTTCCCTCCTGATCTTCCCCATACAGAAGCCCCGCCAGGGCCGCCGACGGGGCACAGGGAGCCCCGGCGGGCCCAAGGCCCAAGGCAGTGACCAGAAGGGACGACAGGGGCTCCAAAAGCTGGCCCCGAAGCCGCAGCGCCTTGGGCCCCGCTTTTGATAGGGCGACGAAATCTATACACATCCACTGCTCCCTGGCCAGGCCCATCCTCCACCCCGCAGCGGTATACGCCACGCCCTCCTGGCTTGGCCAGGAGGGCGCATACACAGCTCCTGGGTTCAAGATGGGCATGGTCAGGGAGCAGTGGATATGTATAGACTTCGTCGCCCGATTTTGAGCCATCTCGAGTCCTCCGAAGAGGCCCCTCGGACGCGACGAGGCGGGAAGGCACAACCCCTCGAGGCGCCGAAGGCCCTGCACGGCTTGGGCATCCAAGGGGAGAGAGCCCTAAGGGGCCCCCGGCGCAGCCGAGGCCCGCTCCGACGCGAGGCTTCCGAGGCGAGCCCGGCCGTGGCCTGCCGAGCACCCCGGGAGCCCCCGAGGAGCGGCGAGCGGGCCGGGGAGGGCACCGGCAGCGGCACCGTTCTGGCTCCCTCCCCAGAGATCCAGCGTGTTGAACAAATCGCAGAAGCGGGCGTTTTCCTCGATTTTCGGCCCTCGGGCCCCCTCCCCCGGCCCCGGGACCGAGACAAAA